CAGTTGCTGGGAGAGCACTGGAGAGGCAACGTGGGGCACGTCTGCCCTCCAGGGCATCACCCACCRCTCCAGTTTCTCCTGGCCATGAAAGTGAACCGTACCTCAGGCAGTTGTCCAAAAAGGTAGCTGCAGGTGTCTAAAAGGAAGGATGTGGCTGCAGAAAGGGCAGCCTGGAGGGTTGGCTCTGGGTGCCCTTTCCAGAGGGAAAGCTCACAGGCAAATCATGAAGCACAGGCAAAGTCTATCCCAGCACCCTGTCCTAGAGGTCTGGGTCAGTCAAGGGGAAATAAGGTGTGAAAAATTATTTCCTAGGAGCCATTAAACAGAGAATGAAATCCCATCTAACACAAAATACAATGCCTATCCTCTCTCTTGAGGAGAGGATCAAATCATTTGTAAAGATGCAGTTACAAAGAAGGAAGACTGWGCACTCAGAACCTCATAGCAAGACACAAAACAAGTCAGATGGCTGGAGAAAGGAGGTCTTGGTAAGGGAATGCTGTGGGAAAAATTTAGGCTGTTTGGGACAAACTGGATTGGCTTCCATTCAAACCGGTCTCTTTTCTATCCAAACATCCCCTTCTCCCTCCCCAAGCCTAGAGCATGTTTCCTTCTTCCGAGGCAGAAATACTCTGGCCTGGCCCGCAGGCAGGCAGTGGCTGTGTGTTCCAGCGGAGCAGCCACGCCGCCCCATGTCCAGCCACAGGCAGCAGCACTGTGCAAGGCCCAGGAGAGGAGCTGGGAATACAGGCTCTGGCTCAGACTGCCTGGCTCTCCGCTCCCGCCACTCCGGGTCACCGCGGCAGATGCTGGGAGCATATGCTATGAATTAATTCCACTTTCCCTACGATGCTTTGGAGACAAGAACGGCAGTGCCTTTCCAACTTATTAACATAGGAGCTCCCCCACCTCCAATCACTTTGTCACACTTAATAAAACAGCCAGCCAGAATCCGTTTAAGAGGTTCTTTAATGGAAAGTTGCTGGGTCTGGCTTTTTTTCAGCTTTTATTTCTTCCATTTTTTTTCAGTGTTGCCTGGGCTGCCACAACCCCAATAATCCCCCATCACTGACAAACTGCACTGTAATAAGGCATCTTCACCAAGAAAGTCTATAAATATTGTATGTATTACAAGCAAAACCAGARACTCCTAAAACTGATAGGACCTAGGATTAATTTTTCCTTCATGTACTCCTTTTACTTTGTCTGTGATGAGGCTCACCATTTGCCCATTGAGATCATTGMTCTATTGAGATCTAAGTCTGCCAGGAGCTATCTGCAGGTGGGTATTTACACTCATCCAGAATTCCAGCAAGTCCCTGGGCAGACACCTCATGCCAGCACACTGAACTAAACATGCTGTTGACAGGTTTGCAGCTCTTCCTCAGCAATGTATGTACAGAGCAGAACAAAGATTAAGCAAGACTCTCTACATTGAATTGCCATCTTTGAATTGAAGATGGAAAACACTTGCCAGGTATATGAAAGCCATGATTGAATGGGGAACTTGAGGTTCTCTTAATTGCTAACCCTGATTATGCCAAAGATTCCTTGTGTGGCCCTGAGCACATCACTGCACCTTGCTTTACCCCTCTGCAATACAGGGTGTGTGGAGACCAGCAAGGGAATACTGCTCTATGCCTTGACCAGGTACAGCCCAGAGAGCTGATTTCCTAGGAACTGAGTTCCTAGGAACTGGATGCACAGTTTTGAAAACTACTTTCACTKCTCATCTCACCTGAGGCTCAACCAGAGCTACACCTTTGCAGTCTACAAGWAAAAGTTACACCTACTATTTTCTCTCTCACATGCTCTTTCCACAGGACTCGTCAGAAATGCAGGTTCCTGAGGCAGCTTTGTCACAGGCAATACACACTCATGCATCACCATGAGCCATGAGCTGGCCTGGGCATGCAGGAGCAGCTCATTGTTTCTCTGTAGCAAGGACAGTAACAGGATTGTGCCAGCATCAGGACTTGAGAAAAGAGAAGCAACAGGTCTCAGTCATCTTCCCAACACTGTAACCAAAACACAACTGTGGAAGGAAGGTGGGCAGGAATAGCTTACTGGAGAAGGGCCAGGAACCTGACRCCCACCTTCCCTTCTCCAGCTGTGGAAGGAATTGAAGAGACATGGAAACAAGTCTCAGTCTATTAAGTTTATTGAAGGAAATTAACGAGACAACTTCATCCCAGTGCACATAAATACTGAAGCAAGGAAAAAATACCTGACAGCATGGCTGTAGAAAGGTGAAAGCAAGCAGGCTCAAGAAATAGAAGATGAAACTTGGAAACTGAGTCTAGAAATAAAGCCATTTTAAAACTATAAGGRCAATCATCTACTAAAAAACTAACCAGGAAAGAGTTTTAAACATACTGTCTGCCTTTCTAAAAGACAGGCAAAGCTCACCCACATCTCACTGGACTCTGCCATGGCCTATATTATAACAGACTAAATGATCAAAGCTACCTGTTCTTGCCATAAAATAGATAAGCCTGGCATTTTTTTCCAAGCCCTTCTCTCTAACTCTGCTCAGATATTTGGTGGATTCCCAAGGTCCCTGATTGGGCACAGGCCTGACCCACATACCCCTGCTTCCCACCCCAGAGTATTCCTGCCTAGGGCCCCCAGCTGAAGCAGGTAGGCAACAGCACCTATTTTTTTCCTCTCAGACTGGCTTGTTGTCTGATTTACTACACTATTTTATTATGCTGAATTTAAATTTTTTTTTACTGGAATATACAAAGCATTCTAAATTCTCTTTGGCCATAAACCATAGGTGTMACAGAAAAGTAGATGCTAGCTCACCTGGGAAGTTTCGGCTCACACCAAAACAGGTTTCTCTGCTCAGGGAGAGACTTTTGGATTACCTTCCAATGGCCACCAAGCTTCTGCCTCACTGAGTTTTCTAGTTATAAGAGAGATGTCTTGGTAAAAAACTTAGGGTCTCCTTAAGACAGATAAGCCTCCCCTTATTTTGGTTGCCCCCGACTGGGACCCAACTMCTTCTCTTTTGCTAGTAAAGTTGTTTGGCATACCAACTCTAACCTGAAATTTTGCAGARTACCAGATTCACAGTGAGTTATTTGACCTGTCCTGGTGTCGCAAAAGTGGGAGTGCAGCACTCCATTAGATCAACCAARCAAACAAAGAAAAGCAGCAAGCTTCCTCCCAGCACCTGCACTCCCCAGAAGTATATAGCAAAACTCTCCAATGGGACAAGGCTTTGAAGGACATTGGTTTAGAAGTAATGTTACTATTTCCTGCAAATAATGACCATGGTTCTACAGGGAGAAGGTATTAACAGCTAAATGAGTTTTTCTTTAGATGACAATAAGAGTGAGTTACTTGGTTCCAAGGAGATATCCACCAGGGAGTTACCTTGTTTGAGAGAATCAGGCTCCGTTCCTTCACACACATGGAATAAACAGTATTTTCCTTGCAAACTACCTATTGCCTGAAGCAATCTCCATTCAGGCTATGGTTTCATGTGATTGCAAAAGCTAAGTGAGGTTATGCCTGGTCAGAATTTAGCTGGGAAACCTCAAGGTAAAAAGAGGTGCAGAAAGAAGTGGCAGTTTAATAGGTGAGGCTGCTTCCTGAGTCAATACAGAGGTAATGGTCAAGAGAGAGGTTAAATGAACAGGGAAAGGCTGGAGGCTGCTGGATGAAATGCCAATCAGGTATCCTAACAGCTTGAGATATCTTTTGAGAGGAAGGTGGTAACCTGGATGTCATATGAAAACAAGTCATTTCAGCCTAAGGTTCTCTGATAGCCATCAATGCAAACCACACTACATTTTAAAATGGTCCACTCCAGGAAGGCTGTGTTTCCATAAAGATCAACCATTCAAGTTATCTGTAAAGGTGCTATTGAGGTGGAATGATGGTTCATAAGTAAATATTTTATTGTGTTTAGAATTCTTAATTTCTTCTGAAAACAAAAATTCTTTAAAAATAACCAAAAATTTTCCCAAGACAATTTTTCTATGAAGCAAGGTCCTATTTATTTTCATGTCTGAAATAAATTCTCAAATACAAACAAGTGAATAGAAAATTAAAGTGCTTAACTATTTACAGAAGATTGATGTATGAGATGTCTGGTGTGCCAAAGTTCTATGGGACACTGAGGTGGTCCTCCCTCTCCAACTGTCCCAGGTCCCACTCAGTCACTAGTTCTGAGGACACCTCTGTGAAGAGATGGTCCCAATCCCAGCTGACATCATCCTACCAAGAAGAAAAAGACAAACACGCTGAAATACTACTGGGTCACCCAAAGTTCTCTGAACAATGCCAGAACAACAAAGAGAGAAACTGAAAGAGAATTGCCCTGACCAGGGAAGTCTCAGATTCAGCTAGATATAGCAGGAATATTAGCCAGAATTAAATGTGAACCCTGCTAGAGTTTTAAAATGTCGACAAAATTATTCATGCTCCAAAATGACAAGAACTTTTTTTTGATACTTGTTCATATTAGATACTCCCAGGTAGGGCATAGAAAGGAGCCCTTCTGCTCTTCTGCATTTCTGCTGAAGCGTGTGCAGTTCACAGCTGCAGAAATACAAAACTTGAGCTGCTGCCTACCCAGTTATATTGAAGTTGTTCTGTCCTGCTTTAAAAACCCTCTACCCAAACCCCAAATGCTTTCTGTCTTTTGTCTCTCTGTACTTTTCTGTAGAACCACCTGCAGCTCATAATGGATATCAAAGGTCAAAACAAAGTACTGTTTCTGCAGCAATCTCTGACAGTACTAGGCCCCTCACATTTTCCTGATTAGCTTCATACTGAAGGGGGCCAATCTTAGTGATGCCATAACCACACACCAAGAAAGCACTATCTACCTTCAAAATCATCTGCTGCAAAATTCAAACCTCCAACAGCTTGGACAAACTCCTCCTCACATCTCTTCTGCACTCCACTGACAAGGTTTACTGTCCTAGTATAGTCTGAGATGCACAAGAGGCTTTTACCCTGTTGGTGTTTCCACAAAACAGACTCACCTCTCGTAGTTCATGCTCTGGAGCCAAAACTTTGGTGAGAAGCTTCAGATCTACCTCGCCATCCTATAAACACACAGAGTTCACCGTCTTACAGACACTGAGAAAACAGACACCATCATTTCACCAGATACATTTGCTAGACACTGCCATATTTGCCTCATAAGGGTCGCTTTATCCAGGACAACAGCAAGACCCTTGTCTGAGCAATAGATACCATATCTCCATTATTTACAGACACAAGTACAAAAACCATGCTGCAGAGAGGAACAGACTTACAGGGAGATTGCAAGTTCTTTGGATGATAAGGCTGTGTATTTTGTGCAGCTGAGTATCACTGTGGAGGATGACGTGAACCTGGAAGGAGACGGAGTCACACTGGCCAGCCCATAGCAACATCCACTTACCAGAGTCTGAAAGGCAGCGTATTTCCTCAGATCTTTGTCCAGGTCATGGTAGGTCAGCACTCGGTTCACCTGCACACTGCAACAAGAAGGAGTCAGAGAACAAACGTGGGTCAGTGTGGAAGCACATGTGAGGAGAAGGGTGGCATGAACGGTAGTCTGGTGACATCTTGAGTGTTCACATCACCCATGCAGACTCTTGGGACGGATGTACCCAGACAGAAGCACAGCTTAGTCAGCAAATGAATGGTCATTGACAAATCTATGTACCAGGTTGTGCACATGCATAAAAAGAGGACGTGGAACAACCATGGATGTCCTCAGAGAAACCAGCATGCCAAAAGAAGATCCACAGACTGGCTGTAAGGGCTAGAAAGAAAAGAACACCATGGTGAGCATTCAAACAGCCCCAGTGCCTTAGCAAAGAGCCTCTGAAAGCAACATCATACAAGGTACACAATAGTAGGGATTTTGGGATTTTCATGTCTGAGCTGCATCAGAGCCATCAAATACGACTTCTTAAATGCTTCTCTTTCAAGAGAGACATGGTGTAGGGGGGTGGTACACTGCTGTATCACACTTGCCTTCACAGGTGATGCACCACTGTTAAAAGACTTCTATTAATTGCTTGTGTTTGGCCATGAAAATCACTTGTCCTTTCTATTGCAGGAAAACTGCAACACAAGGATCAGATAGCATTATGAATAAAGATAAAAAGAAATGAACTCTGGTAAGAGAGACCGTAATTTTAAATTTACTACKATAAGTGTCAATTGTTTTTGTTAACAGCTATATAATTATGATATGCACTCCACACTTGTGATAGAGGCATCTGTGACCAGGAATAAGATATACCACACCTCCAAATAAGGGTCAACAGAAATCCCAGTCTGTACCTTGGCAATGGACCCAACAGAGAAGAGAAGACTTTCCTGGTATGTTTAAGACCAAAACCCCAAAACTTTCCTTTCTTAAAACTTTCTGGTCTCCCTTGAGCTGACTCCAAAGCTACTCTAATAGAACCTTCAAACAACAGGATTGTATTTGGCAAATTAACTATGCACTTGAGTAAGAAGGATATCCTGTGGTGGGCAAAGCAGCCTACAACCATCGTAATCAAAATGTGTGTGGTAATCCACGTGCATTGGAGGCATTTGAGGTTAGGCAGGCAAACTTAAATCAAGCAATTCCCCAATTTTGAGAGTTTGATTTTGCAATATCAAATGCATTATTCAAATGTAGGGTTTTTTATATAAAGAGAATATGCTGTAATTGCTTTTTCCATGTTATAGGGAACAATAAGTTTACACTGTTCAGCTTGGAGCCCTGCTATCACAAAACACGGCACCAAATTCTGCTGAACGGCACTGCTGCTGACATCCAGTGAGCATGAGTAAAATGGGTTTAATTTCACTAGCCACTTTGCACTGCTGATGAGAGCCTCAAGAGCACCTGGCAGTGCTCTTACCTGGGGGGAGCTGCCACTTGCATGGCCAGATCTTCCTCCTGGACATCCTCCAAGTCAGGGATCACAGGAATGTCTGCAACAAGAGAAAGCTGCAGCAGTAAGTCGAGAATGTTGGGCTCTCCTCTCACTGAAGACAAAGGTTGCCTTGCTTCACAGATATGAAGCATCCTGTTTCTTATTAGAGGAAAACATAAAAGCATTACCTAGCAATAATTAAAAATATATTGTTTAACATTAGAACAAGGCAATAAAACTTTGAACCCTCGGGTCACAAATCCAGGTAGGGCTCCACAGGCCATCCATTTGAATACAACTTTGAAGACAAAAGAAGATAGCTGTACTAAACCCTGCTGCCTTCATTGCCATCATCAACTGGCAAGAATTTGCTTGTAATGAGATGTGTTATCATTTACTCAGACGCCAGTCACCCAGACTGTTAAAAATGAAACCTGGGGCAGAAACTGAAAGACTACAGAAAAAACTGTGTGTTGAAGGAGCTGCTGTTGGAGTCTTAGGCTGTGCAGAGGCCTGTGACCTTCCTCAGGAAGTGCTGGTGGTCTAGCAGATACAAACTCTAAGGAACACATCTAGTTGTATTGTCACAAACTTTTTCATGATTTCCAGTGTCATCCTGGAATGGCTGAAGGTCACTGGGTATTCCYAGCACAAGGACTATGGCTACTCCAACTAAAAAATATGCCAGAAACAAAAGAATTGAGGAGAAAAGGAAGAACTGAGTGTACTTTGAATCCTGATAAAGAAGTGAGACTCATTTGTCATTTGACAATGCACTGCAAAAAGCACCAAAAAAGGAAGAGAAGAGAAGGCAATGTAACTGGAGGCACAAAGCAAGGACAGAGCACACCAATACAGAGCTCCTTTAAAGACTCAAGGCCACAAAGGCTCTCCAGAGACCCCCAAGCCCTCAGACCATGGAGAAGCTGGTTTAGCTCAGGGAAAAGGTTTAACTTGCCCAGTGGGCGGGCAGAGCTGACCCCTTCAGCACTGGAATGAGCAGCCTGCTCCCAGCTCCACAGCAGCACAGCAATGCTATGGCTGGATAGCAGCAGGCAGCTGGGCCTGGCTTTGTCCCATTTTGCAGCCCAGGCTGAGATGAATATTCAGGAGCTGGAGAGACATTCCCACCTATGGTGCTGAGGGCTCTGGGCAGGGTCTTCCTGAGAAGCTCCTTGTCCGGCCGCCTGTCAGAGCTGTGCAGGTTCTCAGCTGCCCTCCCCTGCTGCACGTCCRCCGTGTGTCCCCGCTCACTGGCCAGGAGGCAGCCCTGGCCCAGCTGCAGCAGGGCACGGGTCAGCCGGGCCCTGGCACGGTGGCCATCCGGAGCTGGCCACACAGTGGGATTTCTCACTAATTGGTTGCCTGGCGGAAGGCTGAGCGGGACAGGGGCTGTCACGAGAGCCTGGCCACAGCAAAAGGAGTGACAGCTTGGCCAGCCTCAGCAGAGCAGTGCCTTCTAGCTCCCCAGCCACCCAAGGAGCAGGTGCCTGAGAAGAGGCGCTCCAACTGCTGCAAATTTCCCAAAGACATTTAAAGGGAAACTGCAGCAACAGCCCCTAGGCTGTCCCTGAGATAGAGGAGGCAGGTGCAAGGAATGTCTCACCAGTGCATCATGGGGCATTTGGGACAGATCTCCCCATCTCTTCTTGTGAGGAAAATACCCAGCAGAAGCTGCTATCCCACTGGTTCTTCCCAGCAGAGGCTCCCAGCTCTTGGTAAAATTTCTAGCAAAATGCGCTTATGGGACAAAAGCATCTCCAGGGACAGACAGACTGACACGTGGAGGCAGCTGGTAAAGTCTGTCAGGAATAATGTGGGAGAAAGTCCCTGTATATAAGCAACAAGGATCACAGAGGGAACAGACTGATGAGATTGGTCCAAGRCAGGGAATGAAGAGTGCTCTGTTAAGTCCAGGAACATGAGCATGGGAATGAGAAACTATTTAATTTCTCCTGAATTTATTTATCCTTTTCAGACTATGAACATTTCTCAACAAGCACAAGTAAATTAAAAACCACCTGGGAACAGAGCTGTCTTCACCCATGGAGYAGAAGAAGGTCGGATCCTTATCTGCTTTTGATGGCAGAAATGTAAAAGGTGTTTGCAGGAAACTGAATTTCTTCACACAGTGCTCAGTTTGGCAGCTATTTCAAAAGCCTACTCTTCCCAGTTYTCTTTTGTTTTTGTTGATCTCTTTTTACACTAGAGAAAGTTGTAAASTTAGGGCCCTGGTCCATGATGTCCCTTCCATTTTGCAGGTTCACAAAAACTCTTGGGTTCTCCAGTGCTGATTTTATCTCCTTGCCATTGAATTCCCTGGAGAGATTTCTAAGCCCCTTACAGAGCATGACATCCACTCTGTATTAACAAAATGCAGGCAATTACTCAGAAAGTCTTTCCAAAAGAAATTCAAGGCTCCAATATTTTATAGACACTTTGAAAATATTTCAGACAGAAGAAAWATTTTCCCAGACGAAAGGCTCTGGGGGCTCCTGCCAGACCCTCCAACAAAGGCCAGTGCATGCTTGCTCTTACTGCGAAGTGTGGACACCTTGCCCATTTCTAGACAGAAGCAATGTCCTTTAAGATTGCGAGACTGACAGGAAATAGAACAGAAATTTTGAAAATTTTAAGGAAATATCAGATCCCTGGGCAATCAGGGGCAAATAATTTCCAATATATTTGAATTTATTTCCTGAATTTATTTCACTTGCTACTCATAATTACCTCTTCCTTCTGCCAATTCCCATAGTGCCACTTCTGCACAATCCCTCTCCCTTCTCTCTCTGTAGTTTGCAAAGTGTCTCATTCTCATTTAACACCAAGGAACCAACCTTACCCCTCACTCACTCATTCTCCAGCCACCTAATTGGTTTTGTTTCTCTTCTTGAAATTTACATCTTTTTTCCTGTAAACTCTGGTAACAGGAATAAGTGGCACAATATCAGCTGCAGGGGGAAGAAGCACATRGGCTACTGTGCTGCAAGAGAGTAGGCATATGCTCTACTTTTAATAGTCCCACTAGCTGCAGGGAGGCTTTGCATACAACATTGGTACATGCAGAAATGTTCACAGGACCATGTCCTCCCAATCTCACACTGCATCTTTTTCCAACAAAGCTGCATGACAAACCCCCTCTCCCGTGTGCTTTACTCTGTGACYGACATTTTCCCCCTCCTGTTCAGTGTGGGGGGTGTCAGATAATTTTCCATGATCTTTTAAAACCTGTGTTTCTGGTGCAGAACCTTGACACACACTTTACTGGCCAGGCTCTCATGCCCACATGGCAAATCTCAGAAATGACTGCACAAAAGGACACACCTTCATAGATATCAAGTCATGGCAACGTAGTGAACAACGAAGTGAACAAATGGCCTGTGCAAAGATGAGCAAGCACCAAATGCTCGATGACAGATGCAAACTTCCCTCCACCTCCTAGATGATTATGAACAAGTGAGCAAAGAATGAAACCAAAATGATCGTTCTCATACGGAAATTATGGTGAGGCAGGAGAGACACCGGTACCAAATGCTGACTAACTGGGGAATTAAGTCACTGCACCAAACTGATTGTCCCAGAGCATCTAAGTCCCAGCATAAAATCAAGAATAATATTTTATTTCCATAGCTCAACTTAGCTAGGTCTTACACAAAAGGAGCTTCATGACTAAGTTACAGAAAGGCACCAACAAAGTAAGACAGAAGTGTGTGAATGCGAGGAGGAAAAGATGGAGGGGAAAGAGTGAAGGCTACCCATGCTACATATAGATAGTCAAACAATAAGCAAGGAGCAGCAGCTTTTCAAGTCATAAAGAAAGGAGGGCTTTATGTTCACCTTAAAGTACATGTACTAACCRTCACTTCTTTCACCTCTTAGCAAATAACTTACTGACAGGTAAAGAAAACAACAGAAAGCAACAAGCAGGAGGTGGGAGAAGGTGTATCAATCTAATACCCAACTGCTCCTTCAAGTTGGTAAATTGCACCTCCCTTCCCAAGCAGGGCTGATTTTTGGTTTAGTAGCAACACCTACAGGCTGGGTGTCTTAAAATCCTGCAAACTCACAGAAAATCTGATTCTTGCCCCAAAAAGCTAAGTTATCTGCTAGATACAAGGTAGCACACTCTGACAGAATCTCTTCCAGGTCAGGCAATAAACTGCTGGCAAAGCTGGATCTAGAAACCATGTTCCAGTTCAGGCCTGCAGTTTGTCAGCAGTGCGACTGCTGCTTACTCCCTAAGCAGCTTTAAGAGTACCCTTATCTCTGATACCCGAGTACCCTGATCATAAACAAAGAAGGCTACAGCTCACATAGTTTGATCCACTTTCCCCAATGGGTCAGTGTTTCAAAGACCAGTTCATTATGGACAGTCTTGTGGTGGGGATTCCACCCTCCCTGTGCACCCACTGCCATATCCAGGGAACACAGAGAGAGTAGTGGCTTCTGGAGATGGCAGTCTCCTACCACCAAGCAGGTATAAGAATGAAACTAACTTTAGTTTATGTTGCTTGCTTATAAAATGTAAAACTGAAATAATTACAATATCTCTGCTGCTGCAAAACTTTGTTTTACTGAATGCTGTTACCTTCTGCATCACGTTTGAGGAATTTTAAACAGGCAAATGGAAGGTCTGATTGAAGATGAAGTTAAGTGAAAGAAATTGGTCTCATTTAGCACATGACAGGATTCATCTGTGTTCCCAAGTCCACTGAGGTAGCATCATGGGCGTTTCATATTCATGAGCTGCTGCGACACTGTGTCCCCTCATTTACAAAGCACCGTGTTCAGCAAATTCTGTCCCTGTGGACACTCTGTGCATTTCATGGTCTTGTCAGAGAGACATCAAACACTTCAGTAACCAAATACCAGAAAATGGCTTTAATTAGCGCATCTCAATGCAATAAATAATTTTTCTCTCTAAGTGGAAAAATGGAGAATTAAAAAAAAAAGAAAATAAAACAGTGGAAAGCAACAGGCAAAAAATCTTCAAAAACCATAAAGAACAAGGGACACAGACAGCTTCTGCTGAACACACAAACAAGCTTGAAGCCTCTT